CTCTACCTCAACACATGCTCGTTGCGGTCCAACCTCCGAAGGCCTTTGTGGAGCAGGGGTTGGCTAAGCCGGGGTCTGTGGACGTTGCACAAAGCAGTGCGCGGTGTGAAGACACCCCCCCGTGCATGGGGTATCCACAGGGATGATACTTTTCGGAGTCTGCAGTGGCCAGCTGGTGGTATTCGCTACAGTCTGAAGCAGTGCGACAGCGACGCGCAGGCGTGGAGAATCGTGAAGGACACTGGCGACCTCATCTCGCAGCACACGTTGGGATTGTTAGTGGTTTATGTGGACGACTTCTTAGTTTCATGAAGGAGGCGTGCGGGACGAGCTCCTGAGCGAGTTCCGGGCGAAGTGGAAGATGAGTGACGAGGTAGTGTTGACGGAGACTAAGCCTCTTACCTTCTTAGGGTTAGAGCTCCGCCGTGACCCTGCAGGCGTGCACCTAGGACAGTGGAAGTTCATCGGCAATCTGCTTGAGAAGTGCGGCATGACCGACGCGAACCCTCTGACAGCAGTGCAGATGGATGCGCCAGGGACGAGGATATCCCTGATCTTCAACGTCTCCGGTCTCTTCAAGCATACGCTGGGGAGTTCAATTGGCCTGCTACGAGACGCCGTGCCGACGTGGCAGACTTCGTAAGGCTGCTCGCGAACATCCTTACTAAGCACGCAGGGTGGTCAGAGCAGTTGGCCAAGAAGGTTCTCCGATACCTGAAGGGCACGAAGGGCGAGGGCTTGTATCTGAGCATCGACGGAAACGAGAACTCCTTGGTGGCCTGGTCGGACGCCGGCTGCGCGGGTTCCAACATGAAGGCGCAGACTGGGATGTTCGCATCTTGGGCCGGCACCCCGCTCTTGTGGCGTTCCTCACGCCAGACGGCCAGCACTTTGAGCACAGCCGAAGCGGAATTAGGAGCGGCCGCGCTGACGTGGCAGGTTACGGAAGGCGTCCGTGTACTTTTGGAGGAGTGGGGCATCATCTTCGACTTTGTTCTACTGCTTCTCGATAGCGCTTCAGCTCTTACAGTTGTGTCAAACGGGTCTAACTGGCGCACAGAATACTTTGGAGTCAGAGGGAGCCGCATGCGCGAAGAAGTACAGATAGGCAGGCTCAGCGTCGGGCGCCATGAGACGAAGAGCATTGTGGCGGATGGTCTCGCGAAGTTGGGAACAGCTGATGTCCTGAAGGACCTGCGCGATGCTATGCTTTGGGGATCCGCCTACGCCGCAGTCATTTCTTAAAAAAAGGCATGCGCGGCGCACCTTACGAGTACAACGCCAGGGCCGCACCAGAACGGAGACATGGCCGGAGACGGACCAGTGCATCGCCCAGGGTTTGAGCGTGGTGACCCAGCTTGGCGAGCTATCTTCAAGGCGATTTACGAATGTAAGAAACCACAGCTGGTACACCGGATGGCAGAACTCTATAAGAAGTGCGACGGGCGGGAGCCAGAGTTGTGGGACGCCCATGATGAGATGCACGTTCTGAGTGACGCTTTCCCATGGCGCTCATCGTCTTCAGTTGCTGGCCCAGCAGAGGACTGCCCAGAGCCTCCGCCAGAAGATGAGCCAGACGATGTGAAGGAATCTCAACGTGGAGACCGCGGCGACGGCGAGCAGCCGAAGGAGACGGAGGAACCCCCGAATAAGAGGAAGAAGACGCGAAGGGGTGGGAAACCTCGCGTTCACCAGCGCGACCGGCAGTGGTACTGAGCGCCCCTGGGCAGGGGGAGTGTGCACCACTGAATGTCGCATGAGTGTCAGACCTTTGGGCGGAGAGAGATGTAGTGATCACAGCGTAGCAGTGCGCAAATAGAGCATGGCCGTTTTGACTTCAACTATTCTAAAGACTTTCAGAATAGGTCAGACAGTTCTGGATTACAGTGCAGAAGTAACAGTCCCACGGAGTGGGATAGCGTATTTCTCATCCACAGAGTCCTCGGTGTGCCCGAGTCGTTGACCGGCGCTCGCGGTCTTAGCAGGATGGGCTTAGGTGTGCCTGAGTCGTCGACCGGCACCCGGGGCCCGTCCTAGCGCGAAGCATGTACTTGAGCTTATTCTGGGCCGTCCCCGTTTGGTGAAAAGTTCAGGGGAGGTTTCGCGACAATTTCGTGCCGGGGCGGGGGCCCAAGGATTGGCCCCAATCGCGTTTAACAGTTTTAACGCCGAACGCCGCCGGACGCCAGCATGTGTAGATAGCATGTAGCATGGCAGGCGGGGTAGCAGAGAGCAAGTGTGTTAGACAGAACTGTTTGATACTGCTTTGGCTCAAGATCGATACTTGTGCGCACCTGTACTGGAAAAACCTCTCACTGTCACATCTTGCGTCAGATGGCATATTCTCCAGCAGAGTCTTCGATAGTACCCCCTGGGCACCCACTGCGCCACCCCGTGGGGCAGCAAGTACGGACAAGCGAAACAAGCCTCACAAGAAATCGCATGGGCCCTTTTCTGCCCAGAGCGAATTCACGCGGAAGGGGCGTGGGCCCAGGGTTCTCTTTTAGAGGCTCCCCCCGGATCCGACGGGAGGTGGGCCGGCGGAGTTGACGCGTGATGAATCACGAGGTAAAGAGTGAATTTGCAGTTGATCAAATGCGTTTTTCGCGTGCCCGCTCGAAGAAAGTTTGCCCCCCATCTCGGGTCCTCGATAAATAACGGGGTCCGCAGACCACGCGTTTTCGCGGAATACAGGAGAAATAACAAGGTGTGGAGACCCAACCAATTCCAAAGAACGGCCACCCATAAGGGATCGAACATGGCGGTCCCGAGCTAGGGTATCGAACATGGTGGTCCCGAGCTGGAATCACGTGTTTTCACGTGTCCAGCCCACCCAGGGGGGATCTAACATGGTGGTCCCGAGCTGGAACCACGTGTTTTTACATGTCCAGGCCGTCCAGGGGGGTATCTAACATGGTGGTCCCGAGCTGGAATACATTGTTTTTACATGTTCAGGCCACCTAGGGGGATATCTAACATGGTCGCCCCGAGCTGGAACCGCGGGTTTTTAAGTGTCCAGGCCACCCAGAGGGGGTATCTAACATGGTGGTTCTTTGCTGGAGCCGTGTGTTTGTACGCGTCCAGGCCACCCAGGGATCGATCTAACATGATTGTCCCGAATTGGAACCATGTGTTTTTACATGTCCAGGGCGTTCGAGGAGGATATCCAACACGGCGTCGGGCCCAACGCCGAAATATCAGGAAACGCACGGGGGGGCCGAAAAACGCAAATTGAACACATATCCGAACACAGAAGAGTAATTAATGTTTTCTTGAACTGCACAATGGGGGTGGCGCTTTGGGGGCTTCTCCAGGGAAGACATTGCGAGGATGTCTCGAGCGGGGGCGCGAATTCAGCGTATCCAGGCCACGCAGGGGGTATCTAACATGGTTGCCCGAGTTGGAACCACGTGTTTTTACGATTCCAGGCCACCCAGGGGGAGTATCTAACATGGTGGTCCCGAGCAAAGGCCACGTGTTTTTACGTGTCGAGGCCGCTCAGGAGTGCATCTAGCATGGTTGCCCCGAGCTGGCACCCACGTTTTCAATTGTCTAGGCCTCCCAGGTGTGTATCTAACATGGTTGCCCAGGGCTGGATCCACATGTTTTTACATGTCCAGGCCGCCCAAGGGGGGATCTAACATGGTGGTCCCGAGCTGGAATCACGTGTTTTCACGTGTCCAGCCCACCCAGGGGGGGATCTAACATGGTGGTCCCGAGCTGGAATACATTGTTTTTTCATGTTCAGGCCACCTAGGGGGATATCTAACATGGTCGTCCCGAGCTGGAACCGCGGGTTTTTAAGTGTCCAGGCCATCCAGGGGGTATCTAACATGGTGGTTCTGTGCTGGAGCCGTGTGTTTTTACGCGTCCAGGTCACCCAGGGGTCGATCTAACATGATTGTCCCGAATTGGAACCATGTGTTTTTACATGTCCAGGGCGTTCGAGGGGGATATCCAACATGGCGTCGGGCCCAACGCCGAAATATCAGGAAATGCACGGGGGGGCCGAAAAGCGCTAATTGACCACATATCCGAACACAGAAGAGTAATTCATGCTCTGCACAATGGGGGTGGCGCTTTGGGGGCTTCTCCAGGGAAGACATTGCGAGGATGTCTCGAGTGGGGGCGCGAATTCAGCGTATCCATGCCACGCAGGGGGTATCTAACATGGTTGTCCCGAGCTGGAACCACGTGTTTTTACGTGTCCAGGCCACCCAGGGGGATATCTAGCATGGTTGTCCCGAGCTGGAATCAATTGTTTGTACATGTTCAGGCCACCCAGGGGGATATCTAACATGGTCGTCCCGAGCTGGAATCACGTGTTTTTACGCTTCCAGGCCACCCAGGGGAGTATCTAACATGGTGGTCCCGAGCAAAGGCCACATGTTTTAACGTGTCCAGGCCGCTCAGGAGTGCATCTAACATGGTTGCGCCGAGCTGGCACCCACGTTTTCACGTGTCTATGCCTCCCAGGTGTGTATCTAACATGGTTGGCCAGAGCTGGATCCACATGTTTTTACATGTTCAGGCCGCCCAGGGGGGGTATCTAACATGGTTGCCCCGAGCTGGAACCACGTGCTTTTACGTGTCCAGGCCACCCAGGGGGGTATCTAATATTGTTGTCCCGAAATTGGTACCGTGTGTTTTAACGTGTCCAGGTTCTTCCGCGCCGCATGGCGGTGGCATCCCTGGCCTCGCCGATGCAGTCGTGCAACAGGTGGAGCTCTACGTGGCGACGCCGGCCTCGACGCCCAACACGACGCCTTACCCGATCAGCCCGACAGGTGATACAGCAACGTACTCATGGAGCAGTAGCAGTGGCTTGCTCGGATGGGCGCACCTTCAAGATACGAGTTATCCATACGCGTACTGGTCCCATATGGATGGCGTCGGTCCGCCAGGAGACACCCGAGATGCCGACCGATCTTTTGAATAACATCTTCTGATCCCCAACTTGGTGCGGCGTGACAAGCGTGTCATTCGCAGCGAACTTTGGTATGTCGGCAACAACTGGCCATTCTAATGACGCGTACCTGGGAATCGTGTTGGTGTCGGACGCAGGTGCCATCACGAGGAAAGCAAGCGATCAACACGCACTCAAACGTCCGTACAACGTGGAGTAGCATAGGCGGCGGTTGTTACTACATCGAGACGCGCGACGGCAAGAAGAGTCAAGGGTGGGCGCATACTTGGATTTAGGATGTGGTCGTTCTATGCTCAGCCTCGACGCCTTACCCGACGCCCAACCCACGCCCAACCCAATCCCCAGCCCGACGTCCAGCCCGACGCCGAACCCGACGCCGCGTCCGACGCCCAGCCTGACGCCCAGCCCGACGCCCAGTCCGACGTCCAGCCCGACGCCGAACCCGACGGCCAACCCAACCCCCAGCCCGACGTCCAGCCAGGGGGGTATCTAACATGGTTGTCCCGAGCTTGAAACATTGTTTTTACGTGTCCAGGCCACCCAGAGGGGGTATGTAACATGGTTGCCCCGAGCTTGAAACACGCGTTTTAACGTGTCCAGGCCACCCAGGGGTGTATCTAACATGGTTGTCCCGAGCTGGCACCAACGTTTTTACGTGTCCAGGCCACCCATGCGGGGTACCTGACATGATTGTCCCGAATTGGAACCGCGTGTTTTACGTGTCTTGGCCGCCCAGGGTGGTATTTAGCATGGCGGAACCAGGTGCTTCAACGTGTCCAGACCACCTAGGGGGTGTCTAACATGGGCCTCTTGGGGCGTGCCTGGGGGCCTGGAACGGACGTCTAACAGTAAGATGTTTCGAGGATGTCTCGAGGGAACCACTTGTTCTCACGTGTCCAGTTCGCCCAGGCGGATGTCTAGCATGAGGTGGCACGTCCATTGGCACGTTCCGTAGCGCGTCCCTTCGGCACGTCCCGCGGTGCGTCCCCGTGGCACGTCCCCTGGCAGTTCGCTTGGCGCGTCCCTTGGGACGTTCCGCGGCGCGTCCTCCTGGCATGTTCCCCTGTCAGTTAGCCCTGGGGCAGCTACTATGTGCTGAGGCAGCTCGAGCTTAAGATCCAGACCAGTTCGGCCAGGACTCGGATGCAAAGGAGGACTCGATCCACAATGCTATAGAGCACAATCGCGGCATGACACATCGCAGTTCAACACGGCGCAGCCCAGCACAGTTCTCGGCACGGTGCACCAAGACCGATACACTCAGCATTGCAACTTGGCACGTTCCTTGGCACGTTCCGTGGCGCGTCCCCTGGCACGTCCTGTGGCACGTCCATTGGCACGTTCCGTAGCGCGTCCCTTCGGCACGTCCCGCGGTGCGTCTCCGTGGCACGTCCCCTGGCAGTTCGCTTGGCGCGTCCCTTGGGACGTTCCGCGGCGCGTCCTCCTGGCATGTTCCCCTGTCAGTTAGCTCTGGGGCAGCTACTATGTGATGAGGCAGCTCGAGCGTAAGATCCCGATCAGTTCGATCAACTCGATCCACAACGCTGTGGGTCGATCATGTTTTTCACGTGCTCACATTACCCAGGGGGTATCTAACATGGTGTTCGCGAGTTGGAACCACGTCCCACACAGGAGGCTATCGAACATGAAGGTCCCGAACTCAAACCACGCGTACGTCCGCCGGCACGTCGCCTCGGACGTTCCCTGTCACGTTCGGTGGTTTGTCCCCCTTGCACGTCACACGACGCGTCCCTTGGCGCGTCCCTTGGCACGTTCCGTGACGCGTCCTTCTGGCACGTCGCACGCCCTTCGAACGTTCTGCACGGCACGGCACGGCACGCACGTCGCACGGTGCATAAGGTTTCGATTGTCATTAGTTCTGGGCGAACAAATGTACCCAGGCATCTCCGGCTTGAGGCCCAGTTCAGTTTTGTCCACGACGCAACAGAGCACAGAACTGTTCATACAGTCGGGGCCCTGAAGAAGGAACCTTTTTCGTTGGGGAGGGGCTCCGCGCTCCTTAAGTGTTTCGCAGCTTGCCTCAGGTTTTCCTTATGTTTTCGATAGGAAATCGAAGTTCAACTTCTGGAGAAAAGGGGCCTCGTTCCTTATTCAGGGTTCCTTATGTCAACGCCCCGACTGTATTTGCTCCGGTTCGGCTCGTCCCTCTTCAGACCTGAATCTGCGATTGGGCTCGAGCTGGTCGAGCGACCCGCGCCCTCCGATCGCGGCCAGATTTGAGTCATGCGTTCGGGCAGCTCGAGCACAGCACTTCACCGCGGCAAGCGTCTCAACTCATCACAGCACAGCACAGCTGCCGGCACTGTACATCAGCACTGCTGCCTTGAGCACTGCAGTTGCCCGTCGCCCCCAATTTGGGGTCTTGAACATGCCCCAGGCTGCACATGTCTGTATCCATTTCTGGGTCCGTGGGTCGATCATGTTTGTCGCAAGGTCGGATCTCAGGGTGGCGGACAGAGCCTGCCCGACATCTTCCCAGACATGCTCGCGCCATGAAGAAGGGCGCGACGGAAGGTTGTTGGCTATTGTCGGCCTCAGGGGATCCTCGCCGGGCCCCTGACATCAAACAACTCGTGGGGAAAGAGACGGGACTTCCGGGGACCCCGCATTGAAAAAGTCAAGACATCGAGTGTCTGGGAAGAGTCGCGGAAGGATGTGTTCCCAGGAAAGGACGTCGGCCAAGTATTTCGCTTTTGTATGTAAGCCTGTCCTCGGTGCCAAGTTCGAGGTGGGACGGCGGATTCGTTCCCTCATAGGTAGCGAGGCCGAGGTGGGCCGGCGGATTAATATTTGAGGACGTCCCGAACGAACCGTTGATTTTGAAATTCCGATGGATTGAACACATGGTTAAGTGAACATTATCGCTGTTTTTTGCGGATGTCTGGAGCGCAACGCTTCTCTGGCAACATGTGTTGAGGATGCCTCTGGCGAAACGTTTCTCTGATCTCTAAAATGAACTTCTCCTGGGACTCGAATCCGGTTGTGCTTGATGTGTATGTTCAAAGGTTGCCCTTGCGAGCAAATGTAAGAACACGTGTGATCCGAACGCCCAAGAATGGGGCAAGTGTGAACACACATGGGTCCTGTACGCCCCAGAGCAGGGCAAGCTTGAAACACACATGAGTTCCGACCGCCCCAGAGCGGGATGCAAGCACATGGTTTCCGAACGCGCCAGAACAGGACAAGCGTGAAAACACAAGCACGGTCCCAGCGAGACTGCGGATTGCCAGTCCACAGCGTCTTTGTCCAATGCTCCAACGCTGCATCAAACATGATGTAGATTTTAAGCCGTGGTTGTTTTATTCGTGGATCCGCGGTTTTCGAAGCCGCTTCATCTTTGGACGTTCCCGTGGGTGACCCGGGCAAGCGGACACATGTGGCACCAAGGGCCGACTTCCGAGCCCCACAGGACACCCTCTTCGTCCTCCTCGTTGTCCTCCAGCCTCCGTCGGTGGCCGCTTGGGCTCAGGCTGAAGCCTCCCTCCACGCGGGCGTGGACCGAGTGTCCGCGCGCTTGATCCAGACCCCCGACGTCATGATTTTTTCAATGTGGACCCCCGGAGGTCTCGATCCATTCTCCAGGCCAGGCTTTTCATCCCAAGCCGTCTTTTGACAGTCCCCGGGCCTGGCGGGGGCCTTTAGAAGCCGAAAGTAACAGCAAGCTTCCTGTCGTGGTTGGTCATGGCGCGAGGGGGCCTGGGGAACTACAGCTCCATGCTCGAGCAATGGCCCATGGACCCGCAGCTCCCTGGGGCTCCCCCCCAGGTCCAGCAGCTTGGCGCCGGGTCGGCCGCGGCGAGCTGCGCGGACCTGACAGGCTCGGCGACGGTGCCGACGTCGACCTTCGAGAGCGAGAACACGCAGACCACGGAGGAGGCCACGAGGGTGGCCGTCTCCAGTCACGAGCGGCGAACGCACCTGTGCGTGCGCCCACGCGGGCTGGATTCTGGTGCGCGATCCCGCGGGTGTGCGGTCGCAAGAAGACGTTCCGCGTGGGGCATCCGCGAAAAAATGCCTTCTCCTCTACCTCCTCCTCCTTCCTCCTCCTCCTCCTCCTCCTCCTCCTCCTCCTCCTCCCCCTCCTCCTCCTCCTCCTCCTCCTCCTCCTCCTCCTCCTCCTCCTCCTCCTTCTCCTCCCCCCCCTCCTCCTCCTGCTCCACTCATCCGCGTGGTCGCAGCCTAGGGGCCCAGCCCGCGAGGCATACGTGTTCCTCCCACGGCCCGTCCAAGTCAGGCAATCCGTCGGCATTGTGCAACATGAGCCCTCAAGCGCAAACACCCCTGAGTGCAAGCATTGGTTTGGGCGGGAACGCAGGGAGTCGATGAGATAGCCCTGGGTCTCCCGAAGAAGGAACATACACAAACTCAAACTTCTGTCGCTCCTCGCAGATTTCTTGGATCGGCGCTGGGCCCCACTGGCGGCTCCTCCAGCGTTGCCTCTGGCGCGCTCCGCGCGCCAGGGAAACGGGGCTCAGCTTCGATCCCAGAGATCCGCGCGGACCTCGAAAGTTCATGCCTGTGCCGTCTTCTCGTCCTCCAGGGCCTGCAGTGCTCCGAGAGTGAGGCCACGGACCCCAGCCAGAGCGAAAAGTACTTGCTGCGGAAGGAGCGGCTGCGCCGCAAGAGGCTGGCGTCGTCAGGCGCCTACGGGAGTATGCTGCGGAGGGTGTACACGTCTCAACACGACGAGGATGACGGCCGGGCCGCCAGTGTCTCGAGGATATGCGCGGACCAGGGCCTCGCGCTCAAGGAGGTGACGCTCGTCGGGGAGGGCTCCTTCGCGAGGGTGTGGTGCGGCCAGGCGGCCTCGGCGGCGTACGGCCTCGAGCCTGGCGACCGGGTGGCCCTGAAAGTGATCCGCGAGAGGTTCCGGGGCGCCCTGGCGACGCAGAAGTGGACAGAGCGGGAGATCCAGGCCATGATGATACCCGAGCACGGGCACCTCGTGTACCTGTTCAAGACGCTCGCCGACGGGTCCAACCCAGTGCTCTGCATGGAGTTCTGCCCGGGAGGGTCGGTGCACGAGGTCATACACAGCTCGCAGAGGAGGCACGTGCCCACAATGGCTCAGCGCATCAAAATCGGGCTCGACATTGCCAGGGGCATGGCCCACCTGCACTCGCACAGCGTCTTGCATAGAGACCTGAAGCCCAGCAACGTCATGCTCCTCTGTGAGCTGGATTGCGGAGCGCGGCAACCCCACGCGAAGGTTGTGGACTTCGGCCTTGCAAGGTTGTTGGATGCCGCCGGTGCCGAAAGTGGCGATTTGACGCTGGATGTAGGCTCTCCAGTTTACAGAGCCCCCGAACTCTGCTCCAGCGAGGATGGATGCGTAAACGACTACAGAAATAGTTCTGCCCGAGCGGAATTGTTGGATCGGCGCGGGCCCCCCCCCCCCTCCGGCCGCGAGTCCAGCTCCGCCCCTGGCGCGCTCCGCGCGACAGGGAGGAGGCTCCCGCGCCGATCCAGGAAATCCGCTCGGACATTCAAAGGTTTATGTGCATGTGTGCTCCCCTTCAGGGCACCGTGGGGCACTACGACTTCAAGGCGGACGTCTTCTCCTTCGCGGTGCTTGCGAACGAGCTCCTCACCGAGGAGCGCCCGTACGCGGGCTTCCCGCAGAGCGGGCGTCCGCGCCTGGTGTTGGCCATCATATCGGGAGCCCGGCCGAGCCAGGCCAGGATGCCGGGCGACACGCCGCCAGAATTCGCGTCCAGGCGAGGGAGGAACAAACAGCACAAACACGAGTGGTCGACGGTCCGCGCGGAGTTCGAGGATCTGCGCTGGGCCTGCCCGACGGCGCCCCCTGGCGCCGCCCCCAGCGCGCTCTCCGCGCGACGGGGGCGGGGGGCCCGGCGCCGATCCAAGGAATCTGCGCGGAGCTCCGACAGTTTCACCGTGTTTCTGCATTTGTTCTTTCCTCTGTACATCATAGCGGACGCGTGGTCTGCTGATCCGTGCGACCGCCCCGATTTTGATGTAACGCGCGATTTGCTTGAGGATTGTCACAGGGCGTCGTTCGAGTGAGCAGACACTTGAGTTGATGCGCCGCCTCGAGGTCAGCGTCATGTGTCAGATGAAAGTTTCATGATGTTTCACAAAATCTATGTCAGCATATCTTTTGTGCCCCACCTTCGATGGTAGCTCAGATGTGATTAGTCGCTGAGGTTTTCGCGTGTTTTGGATCGACACGGCGAACGCCTCATCATACATGTGTTTTTGGAGAGTAATCGCGTCGCAGATCACTGCGTCAACGGGACTCATCCCATGAAGCATCGCAGCTAGCATTTTCCTAGACTTCAGTTTCTCAAGCTGCCTCTCAATACACGCTTCGAAGGTTCACAGACCTGGTTCTGGCTTCAGGTCTGGCTCCAGGTTTGGCTCCAGCCGCCAGTTCAGACCCCACGGCCTGTTACCTAACACTTCCGCTCACCTACTTGTCACTAATTACGTCCACAGTCGCAGAGATGGCAGAAGAGCGGGACACCTAGGACGAGCAATCATATAGCTTTGAATCAAGCTGAATACATACGGTTAGGACCGACGGGTAATAAACACATTTCGCAACATTGGTACGACGCTGCCAAATGCCATGGTCAGGGAGTCTCTACAGTGAAGGTTTCACAGATAGCCTGTCCCGATCTGGGTCGTGAGACACCTTGATTCTACACACAATTTAGCGGCGGAAAGAAGGCTCGGAGGCAGGGGCCACCAAAACAACACACGCTAAGCATTCGGCACCCGAAGACGCTAAGCGCTGCGGGGAGGAAGACGATGATGTGGAGTAGTAGGGGGAGGGTGACGTGGAGGAAGAGGAGGAGGAGGAGGCTCAACCATCCAGACGGTTTGAACGGTTTCCCCAGAAAAATGGCGGGCCCAGGGTTATATTTAAATTGTGTAATTGTCCTAGGTGCATCGGCTGGAAAAAAAAAACAAGGTCAAGCTGGGGCGGCAGATTTGTAGCCGAGGACATCTCGGGCCACACGCTTGGATTGCATAGTTTGTTGAGTATGTCTCAGGCGAACCGCGTGTTCTGCAGAGTTTCACGATGTCTCAGCCGAAACGCTTATCCGGAAGAATGTACTGAGGATGTCTCGAACGAAGCGCTTGGTTTGAAGAGCCTGGGAAGCCTGGACGCCCCAGGCTGCTCCAGGAGGCTCTGGGAGTGCAACCATCAGATCCCATAACTGCCACATTCTGGAGGGACACAGCGCGCGGGGTCGCGAGGTTGCCGGGGCTCGTGGCCCCGGGGGCGCGGACGCAGCGCAATCCACACGGGATTGCGGCCACGGGGGCTCGGACCGAGCGTAGTTTAGAAGAGCTCGTGGCTCCGAGAGCGCGAAGCTGGCGAAATGTTCAAGGGATCGTGGCAATTGGAGCGCGGACGCAGTGTACTTTACGAGGGATTTTGCCGCTGGGAGCGCGAGCGCAGCGTAATGCACAAGGGACCCTAACCCTTGGAGCTCGGACGCAGCGTAGTTCATGAGGGATCGTGGCCCTTGGAGTGCGGACGCAGCGAGACGTATGAAGGATCGTGGCCCTGCGAGGGATCGTGGCGTTGGGGTTGAACCCGGTGTAGTTCGGAAGGCATCCTGGCTCCTGGAGCGCGGACCCAGCGGTGAAGATTCACAGAGCAGGATGGCTCGTCCCTTTGCCACGTCCTCTGGCACGTTCTGCGGCAGATTTCCTGGGCGCCCCCTGGCACGCCGCCTGGCTTGCGCGTCCCATGGCACTGCGGTGCCCACTGGCGCGTCCCGTGGCACATTCCTTGGTTCGTCTTCTGGCGCGTGTCCCGGCTCGTCCTCTGGCGCTTCCCCTGCCCGTTCTGTGGCGCACGTCCATGGCAAGCCCCCTCGTTCGTCCCTTGGCACGTCCCCTGGCACGTCCCCTGGCACATCCCCTGGCGCTTCCCCTGGTGTGCCCCTGGCACATCCCGTGGCGCGTCCATGCGCCCTGCGCCCCCTATCTGTTCGTCCCGTCTCGGCACTGTGTCGGATCTCGAGTTCGAGCTGGTTGAGCGCCCCGCATGTTTCGACTAGCTTAACACTACTGCGGGGCGAGCCATGCGTTCAGGCAGCTCGAGCCAACGATCCAGACCAGTCTGGTCAAGGTGCGGAAGCCAAGGACGGCCATATCTACATTGCAGTAGAGCGCACCACATGATGGAACAGCACAGTTCCGCACAGCGCGGCACAGCACGGCACAGTGCGGCGCAGAGCTGCACAGCCCTTGCGCCGAGTGGGCAGCGGAAGGGCGGCGAGTACACCTCACCCCTGGGACACTTCCGGGATCCCCCCCAAGGCGGGGAACGGATCAAGGGGAAGGGGCCCTTCGATTTGATTACGACTTGGAACTTTTTTTTCGGAGTCGCGATCTTCAACCGCTCTACACGGCGACCTCGCAACGCTCAGGTCTTGCTTGTGACTCGGAACGGTTTCCCTTCGACATGTGGGAACACACGCCGACAAGTTCGGAGTGTATGTATACATCTGTATGTAAATACACACGTGCATTTGAAAGCATATGTATATGTGAAAGTGTATATATACATGTGTACATAACTGTGTATGTATCACATATTATGCACGTAGCACCCCGCAGTTTCGGATAAGAGTGAGGGGGTGGCGTTGTCGTCGGCAGTCTGCGAGGACTTGGAGAAACCAGCCGCAGGCGCCGTTGTTTCTAGCCGAAAAAAACAGTGAGCCTGCTGCGGGCGCCCAATTCTCGTCAGCAATGTGGGTGGGTCGCGAGTGGGTCGCACGTGGGTCGCGGGGTGGGTCGCGGGGCGGGGCGCGGGGCGGGTCGCGGATGAGGACGAGGACAACAGCAACAGCAACAGCACCAACCACAACACCAATCAGTTTAAGACGGTTGGCTCCTATCTTCTCGCGTGTTTTTCAACACGTGTATCCTGAACCATGGATACCCGCCCTTTTCGTCTTCGACCCTACGCCCATTGAGAGCACATCTTCCTTGCATGCTACGCGCATGTAGAGCAGCACCTGAAACAGGGGAAGAAGGGACGGATGCACGAGAGCAATTAGGAAGAGGGGGGCTAGGAGCAGAAAAAAACGTGGCAGAGCCAGACGGGCAGATCGGCTGGGCAGACCCTAAAGGGCGGGTCGGGAAGGCGGGCCTAGGCGGCCAGGTCGAGCAGGCGGGTTGCTGAAGCGTGAATCCTGCATGAGTCACGCGGAACTCTAGAGCAATACCGCGATTCCCAAGGAAATGGTGAGCAAGGCCAGAGCGAGAAGGTGATTCCTGGGTGGCGAGGGCGCGGCGTCTGAGTACATTGCGAGGAATTTCCACGCGAGAGTGCGATTCCTGCATACATTGTCAGCACGTCCCGCGCAAGAGCCGTTGATGTAGCTTGGACCCCGACAGCGCAGTTTGGTGGCCCTTCGCTTTTCCTTGCAAAAAGAAGGGTGCACGCCCCGGGAGAAAACACTTGAACTGACAAATGCAGTGGTTACCCGAGAGACGGGGTCAACAATTGTTATTCTTTAGACATGGAGATACAACAACGACAGCAACAATCCGCACTGCGGGTCCCCACATCAGCCACGCGTGAAGGGACAGTGAATCACCACTCGCCCCCCTCACTCTCTCTCTCTCTCTCTTTCTCCCTCCCCCTCCTTCTTTGTTTCATATAGACAGATCGATATGTGTATACCCGCATGTCGATGTATACGTTTACACGTACCTATACACCCCTATATATAATGTTCTCTCTCTCTCTCTCTCTCTCTCCTTCCGTTTTTTGTCGCTCGATCTACATTTCCTTTACTACATCGTTATTTCTCTCCGTCGGCATGTCCTTTGCCTTCTCGTCTATTACGTATACATATATATACATGTATATAGGTACACATATACCATATGCGTGTACATCTGCCTCTGTCTCTCTCTCTTTCTCTGTTTCTCTCTCTGCCCATCTGTCTCTTAGTGTGCCTCCCTTTTTTCCAAGGCTCGTCGAGTCCCTCGCCTGTTCGAGACATTATTACGCCTTTTTTGAAGTCAATCGTATGAACCCCCTTGCGGGGTAGACTGTGCGGGGGACTTTGAAGAACCGTTAGATACCAATAAGGGCAAGTCGGTGCAACGCCCCGAGACTGAGGCCATAGCTGGTCGAATTGTACGCTGTGGGCTTGGGGCGACGGTCTTGATCCATTGTTCTGTGCGCGCCGTGCGTATGCGGCCCACCGTTTTTCTCATCTCACCCTTTTCTTGTTGATTCGGAGTGTTAGTGTTCGCGCTGATGTATTGTATGCTTGCCCGCTTTTGGACGTATTGACCGCTCGGGCCCAGATGTGCTCATCCGCAACGCGCGCGATTGTGTATGATTGTTGACCGATGATGTTTCGCTACACTCCGTACGGCGGTAACCTGGATCCTCGAGCGTGGAGCCTCGAGCGACGATGTTTCGCTACACTCCGTCACCACGACTACGACAGTGTATTGCTTCTGGAAAAGCTGCCAATCGTCCTCTCATCCCCCTCGCTCTCCACCATGTCCAAAGGTTTTGTTCTTCAGGCGTATCGTCACAACATCGCTTGGCTTGTCACCCACACTGCCCGCCGTTGCCACTGCTAGCAAGTCTGGGCAAGGCTGCCTGCACTGCTACAACTGATTGCTTCACGATCTCGACTCCGTAGGTCCACTGGCTCGCGTGACAGAAACGGGGTGTATACCATTGGCCAATCGCGTGGATCCGAGCCACCGACGGGGGCGCGAAAAGGACTGCGCTTTTCGGCCTGACTTGGGAACGTTTCACTTCGGCCAGGGTAGCCTCGTGGCTTGTGGCCGCGCGAGGACGATCGCGTTTGGCGCTTCGCGCGCCGCAAATCCCAAAGTCAGTTGGCTGGCTGAGCAACATGCCAAACAAACCGCTAGGTTCCAGGGTTTTGCGGCTGTGGCGGGCGCTGGAAGAAGAACCTCTTCTCGGGGCTGAGCC